ATTAATAAAAGGTTATCTATCTTTAAAAACTCACCTAATTGTCGATAATAGGTCTTGTTCGTTAAAAACTAGTCAAAATTTTAACTTTCCCTACCTTTTTCCTTTTGGGTAGGGGATATTGACCTTAAATCGATCCGAACCCTCAAACTACTTTATTTTTATATTTTTTTAAAATAAACTCATTTAAATTGGCATAAAAGCATAACATAGTAGAAAACTAGATTTTTATGTTCACACACAAACAATGTAGCCTATTTTAAGTTAGATGGGATGACGATGATATTATATCTTTCTCATACGCAATCAACCCCTTATCTAGATACATGTGTAGATTGGTATGTTTATGGTTTCTTAGTTCTCTCCGATTAGTTAGGTGGAAACTCCTCATTCTGCATGCATTCCCTCATGGGTCCCTATATCAACAAATTTGAATGCCACTTTAAGCAACATATTATTAATCTAAAAAAAAAAAGAAAAAGGAAACATTAATATACACTCGTGATATAAAAAATGTAACAATAATAGAATTAGAGAGAAAAATGATTTTGCTATAAAGTAAAATAAATACAAATGATATTAACTTAAAACAACTCTCTCGATTATATAAAAACACTACATCGGCTAATGAACAATCAATCATATTTATATGTTTTAATATTAGAAAGAGAATTAGAGAAGCTTAAAAAAGTTAATGAAAGGTTGCACCAACCTTTCAATTCTTGTATCGTTGTGCATGATAATAGTAAATTGAATCTCATTAAACACTATGATTAATAGTGAGAATAAAATTAATAATGAATAGTTATTATTTCATAATACTCTTTTTTTAATGCCCATCATATAAGGAACATGCTTTGTTAAAACCTTATTAAGAAAAATCTAGTTGGAAAAAAATCATAGGAAAGGAAAAAGAGTACGATATTTTTTTTACACATTAGTCCTTATATTGAGCTTCTCCTATTGAAAGCTTTATTTAAGATCTCTAAGATGACACATTTCAATCTTATGAATCATTTTCTCAAAAATTATAATAGGTAATAACTTAGTGAATAAATATGTTGGATTGTCATTTTGATGTATTCTTCATTTGATTGAGTTACACATGCAACATTATCAATCTTTATATAATATTATTGTAACTTTGTTTGCTAGTGGATAGATTACATATTTTTATAGAGATTTCTATAATTTAATTGAATATATTTTTATAATTTTTTTTAAGCCATACATCATTGGTCTCCTTACATAGACATTGCACTTATAACATTCACTTCATTTTTTTCCTTTCTAATGTTCAATTAATTATTTAAAAAAAAACTTGAGAAAAAGTTTAAACAATACACTTTCAACGTTTATATCAAATATGTACATGTGTATATGCAGAATCATGATAGTTTTATTTAAAAACTATAACAATCCATTGTATAAATTATATTTATTCATTTTTTAATCATAAAAAATCACATTCATAAAAAAAATATTTCAAAATTCAGACATAAAAAATAAATCATATTTATAAATAAATAAAATTTAATAAAAAATTAGATGAGAATTTTCATTAAAAAAATGACAAAGTCATGGAATAAAATTTAAATAATAAAAATAATATAATTTGAAATATATGTTAAATCTAAAATATGAAAACACATTGTTAATATTTCTTCTTTGCTAGTTTGTGGAAAAATTAAAAAATAATTACAAGTTTTCAAAATCTAATTACCAAATCAAATGATAAAAAAAAAAAAGATTACACCAAAAAAAAAAAAAAGTTAGGCCGACTAGCGCCAAGCCTACAACGCTAGGTTGGTTCCTTAGGCTTGTAGAACCAACCCCCACATGTACTAGCTAAGTTTTTTTTACCTAACTAGGATATTTTTAAATCTTTATTCTTTAAATAGGGTAATTTTAAGCTTAATTCTCAAACTATACATTTTTTGCCACTTAAGATATTTTCATCCACGTCACTTTTTTCTTTACGACAATCAATTTGCCTTTTTCTCTAATATTAAGCATGATTCAATAACCAAGCTGTAACTAATTTTAATGCTTTCCAAAAATGACTAGGCGTCTCAATACTAAGAACTCGCCTTCTTCAACTTTGCCATGTTTGTCTCGTCATCCCATGTCTTCCCAATTGAAAGTGTCTTGTACACATTATCAATTATTATGGATATTCTTAGTTGAAAAAAAAATATGGATATTTTAATCACTTTGCTTCCTCTATTTTCGGGAATCCTAATTTTATAATTACATAAGCAATCTTTCCCTTATTAAGCACGTCAAAGCTACACATGTAGAACATGATTACTGGTATCAATTTTCCTCTACTTGTCTTCACATCACCGCATACGATATCGGACCATCAAACAAATTTATTGCAAAGGTTTGACATTCTTACATTTTTAAAGGACATGAATTTGGGCTTAAAGACTATTTACATAGCTGTTTTTTTGCTCAAGTTTCAATGTCCTCGGATATTTGAGGCGAGAAATATCTAAAAATGATGATGGAAGCAAGAAATTTGCCGATGGTCCGGAGGATACAAGGAAATCAAGCACTTGTTTGAATATTCTAATCACTTTGCTTTCTTTGTTTTCGGGAATCCCAATTTTATAATTATGTAAGCAATCTATCACCTCTTGAGCATGTAACACGGGACTACTTTGTATCAATTTTCCTCCACTTGTCTTCACATCACCACGTAAAATATTAGACCATCAAACAAATTTATTGCAAAGGTTTGAGATTCTTACATTTTTAAAGGATATGAATTAGGGCTTAAAGACTCGTTTACATGGCTATTTTTTTTCTCAAGTTTCAATGTAATCGGATATTTTCAACAAAAATATCTAAAAATGATGATGGAAGCAAGAAATCTCCCGATGGTCCGGAGGATACAACGAAATCTACCACTTGTTTTGAATAGCGAGTTTGATTGTTGATGCCTAGAAGAGCAATAATGTCAATAACGTCGAACAAGACCAATTGAGCGACTCCTTAAGTTGTGTTGATGAGTACTATCTAATCCTGCAGATGCAAATTGTGCGGACTCGTTAATTTGGTAAACCCAAATGTGAAAAAATCCGACCATACGTTTCAATTATCAAAAACTAATTCAACCAACTTGAAAATAACCAACTTGAAAATAGTTGTAGTAGAATCTTATGACATAAATGATAAGGGGACAAAAGGGGATACGTGTTAGGTCATGTGTGAGCAAGATGAAAAGAATTCTAGAAGCAATCAGCATCTAATACAAAGTTATATCATTTGATAACATGTTTGTCGACGTGTCAATAAATATCGATTTCTATATATAAGTTTAAAAGTACCTTCTTTTAGTAATAAAGATTTAAAATTATCCTATTTGAAAAAAAAAACCTTTGTACTAGTTGGACACATATGGGCAAACCCTTAAAAAAAACGAAAGAGGAAAATAGCAAACAATGCGACGCATGCGCAATTTGTTAGAAAAACGACACACAATATTTGGACAATTTGAAATATATTTCACCCTCAAGTACCTAAAAATTACTAGAACTGATTACAAAAACCTATTGAATGTCTTCAAACCACAACAATCTAGTCGTAAATCAAAAAGAAAAAAATAATCATGGATCAAAAAGAGAAAATAGTTAGAATGTGTCTAGTTGTAGATTTCTCTCTCTTCTATTCTATTTGTTGTTTATCTCTATATTTAGAAACTAGATCGAGATATAAATGAAATTAAGAATACAACAAATATTAAAAAAAATTCAAGGATAAAAATGTAATATTTATCAAAATTTACATCTCAAATGCCTAAAAAAATGTATAAATTATAAAAATTCCATATCAAATTCTTAAACAAAGGCTGTAAATCTTAATGATGCTTACGAATATTGATGAATAGTAAAACGAGTATAGATAAATATGAATATTCTATTTATTTTAGATTTTCTTTTTACTTAAGATATTATCCTTGGCAAATTATAAGTAAATTTTACTTATATTATAGATATTTCGTGTGCAGTTCAACTCGTAAATTTAACAAATGTTCAGAAAGTCTATAAACTCTATCACTGAAACAAAACTAGAAACGTTTTTTTCTTTTTTAGCCGGTCAAAGATCTTTTATGCAACATAATTATACAATTTTATTAATTTATTTTTCTTTTTGTATGCATATTTGTGACGTGGAAGTAATGAAAACGGTTTTGTTCGTTCGGTTTGTGCAATTTTCATGAATTAAATTAAACTGTTTTAAAAAGTTTTAATTAAGTTTCAAACCGAATATGAATTTTGTTGGAACACATGCAAGCCTATAATTATTAGCACTCTTATGAATTTTCAGTATTCGTGGATTAAAAAGAATTTTGGAATCTAGCCCAGAAGTGAACTTTTTAAGTCCAGATAAAGGCCCAATTTTACAAATTATCGATTTCTTCACCCAAACAGATCATAACAAACCCAAAGGTCCCCACTGCCTGCTGATACGTGTCGCCTGATGACACCAACGTAGAAGAAAATCAAATCAGAAAGGAAATAGCGCCCCACTCTTCGATATGCACCAGATAATTTTCTCTATCAAAAGCGCCCCTCTTTCGAGTCTTCATCGCCAGATCAATCCTCCACCGTCAGATCCTCAAAACTCATTCACATCGTTCAAATCCACACTCCCTCCCAAAATTCAAAATTCAAAATTCAATCTCACCAGACCGTTAGATCTCTTCACTCTTCCATTTTAAAATCTCCCAAAGTCTTTTCTCTCCTCATTTCGCTTCCAGTCTCCAGACACCATCTCTGTGTCTTTCTCTCTCAAAATTCAGAAACCCTAGCTTTCTCCCTTAAGAAAACACCGAACCTAAAACCAAATCCATCTAAGGAACGCCTCTCTGTTTCTTTATCAAGATAACCTAAACTTTCTCTCTACAAAGATTCCCTTCAAGATATCCTTAAAGGAGCAAAAGATTCACACATTTCCTCTATAAAAACCCTAAAGCGTGACTTTCGCTCTCTAGAATGGCGGCAGCGACCAAGAAAGTCCCATTAGCAACAAGCAACAGCTTAAACATGAAACAGGAAAAGACAATCGAAGAAACCTACCAGAAAAAGTCCCAATTAGAGCACATTCTTCTGCGACCCGACACCTACATCGGGTCAATCGAGAAGCACGCACAGACCCTCTGGGTTTTAGAGAATGACAAAATGGTGCACCGATCGGTCACTTATGTGCCGGGTCTTTACAAAATTTTTGATGAAATCTTGGTGAATGCAGCGGATAACAAGCAAAGAGACCCGAAAATGGATTCTTTGAAGGTTGTGATTGATGCGGAGAATAATTTGGTTAGTGTTTATAACAATGGAGATGGAGTTCCCGTGGAGATCCACAAGGAGGAAGGTGTTTATGTTCCGGAATTGATTTTTGGGCATTTGTTGACTAGTAGTAATTATGACGATACGATGAAAAAGACTACTGGGGGAAGAAATGGTTATGGTGCTAAGCTTACGAATATCTTTTCGACCGAGTTTGTGATTGAGACGGCTGATGGGAAAAGGACAAAGAAGTATAAGCAGGTAAATTTGAGTTAGAAAGTTGGTTTCTGGTTATTTTTTAGTAATTTGTTATGTTTGTTTTTGTTGAATTATTGATTAAAAGATTAAATCTATCAAATACGAAGTGCACTGCAATTTAGAGTTTAATTGATTAGTGAGATTTTAGTTGAATTGTCGCTTGACAAGTTTAAGGTATCTTCGAGGAGACAAGGTTGTGGTGTTCCTCAATCATCAGTCAGTCAGTGTTATAATACATACATACATACACACATACATTTATGTATGTATGTATAACTTGCTGGAAAAAGATGTAACGTCCTTTAATTTTTTTGCCGGAACCTGTGATTTGTGAACTGGATAGAAATTTAAATTGTAGCTTGTTTTAACATGAACTTAAGGTACTTAAATTAGGCAAAATTTCTTTTACAAGGACAAAGTATCATGATTATGTTAAAAAAAAATTTGATCGTTTAACGTGCTCTTAATTTGTATGTAATATTGGTTTGTGTTGCTGATGTGAAGGTTTTCTCTAACAACATGGGCAAAAAATCTGAGCCAATAATAACCAAGTGCAAGGAGTCTGAGAATTGGACCAAGGTGACATTTAAGCCTGATTTGGTTAAGTTTGGCATGACTCATCTAGAAGAAGATGTGGTAGCATTGATGAAAAAAAGGGTGGTTGACATGGCTGGTTGCCTTGGAAAGACCGTGAAGGTTGAGCTCAATGGAAGTCGTGTTCCTGTCAAATCATTTCAAGATTATGTTAACATGTATTTGAATTCTGCCTCTGATTCTGTCTCAGAACGCCCCAAAAGGTTGTTTTTTATGTTCTTTTGTCTAGTTATCATTTTTTTTGTACGTTTCCACTGTTAAGATGCTCAATGAGTTTTGGTTTTGGCCAGTTTCTATGAGAAAGTTGGTGATAGGTGGGAGGTTTGTGTGAGCCTCACCGAAGGTCAATTCCAGCAGGTAATTGAGAACCTTTTTTGATGGATCATGGTTTATTTCCAAGTTGTTTGCAATTGTGTTAGATTAATGTTCCTATATCCCGAATAATTGGGGTCCTCAACAGGTCAGTTTCGTTAACAGCATTGCAACCATCAAGGGTGGGACTCATGTTGATTACGTCACTAATCAGATCACTACCTATGTGATGAATGCTGTTAATAAGAAGCACAAGAATTCCAACATCAAGGCCCATAACGTGAAGAACTATTTGTGGGTTTTTGTCAATTGCCTTATTGATAATCCTGCTTTTGATTCTCAAACAAAGGAAACTTTGACACTTCGCCAGAGCAGTTTTGGGTCTAAATGTGAACTTTCTGAAGACTTGTTGAAGAAAGGTATGTTACATGTGTTGTTTGGTTTTCTGTAAACTAGAGTTTGGTATTTATAGAATGCCAGTTTGAGTGTTTTATGCTGATCATTATCATATTTACAGTGGCAAAGTCTGACATCGTGGACAACCTCCTCTCGTGGGCAAAATTCAAGGAAAGCAAAGAGCTTAAGAAAACTGATGGAACGAAGACAGCAAAGGTTAATGTGCCAAAGCTTGAGGATGCTAACGAGGCTGGAGGGAGGTACTCTGAAAAATGCACATTGATATTGACGGAAGGAGATTCAGCAAAAGCTCTGGCAGTAAGTTCCATGATCAATAACGGTTTCTGTGGCAACATCAATTTAACTTTCTTTAACAGCAATGCATGTATGCAGATTGCTGGCGTGGCTGGGCTGTCCCAGATGGAACGGAACTTCTACGGCATATTCCCTTTGAGAGGTAAATTGCTCAATGTGCGAGAAGCCACGTCTAAACAGCTCAAAGAGAATAAGGAAATTGAGTGCATCAAGAAGATTCTTGGGTTACAGCATGATAAGCAGTACATTAATGTCAAGTCTTTGAGATACGGTCATCTGATGATAATGACAGATCAGGTTAGTGCTTCACTTAGATTTTTACATGGTATTCTCCCATAATTCCTAAAGGAGAGATTGCTCACCTTTTGTGCTTTAAACAGGATCACGATGGTTCTCACATTAAAGGCCTGCTGATCAATTTCATTCATTCATTCTGGCCATCATTACTGAAAGTCCCATCTTTCATGGTTGAGTTTATAACTCCTATTGTCAAGGTTGGTACATTTAACTTATTACTCTTTCAAGAATGTGGATATTTCTTCAAGCTTGTTGGTAATTTTCAGTTATAATTGTTCATGCAGGCAACCCATAGAAACGGAACGGTTCTATCCTTTTATTCCATGCCAGAGTATGAATTATGGAAGGAAAGTTTGAATGCGAATGCAAGTGGCTGGTCCATCAAATACTATAAGGTTTGTTCATTTGACATGGAAGAAAAGAATCTGAGGATGCACGGAAGGATTCATGTGCTGTCAATCAGCATTTAGTTTCATTGTTATTCCATCTTGTGGTAATTTAGTTTTTGTCATCATAGGGGTTGGGAACAAGTACATCCAAGGAAGGAAAAGATTACTTTAAAAACCTTGACAAGCACAAGAAAGACTTTTTATGGATGGATGAGCAAGACGGGGATGCAATAGAGCTTGCTTTTAGTAAAAAGAAGATAGAAGCAAGAAAGAATTGGCTTCGGCAGTATGAGGTTGGTTTTGCTGCATGTTTGTGATTAAATTTGTTTTTCAACCCTTTCGCCACCAAAAGAATAATGCTTACTGTTTGAAACTACTACTGTCTTTTAAGGGAATCTTAGTTGATCTGGCATTTTGCAGCCTGGTACTCACCTCGATCAGAAGCAGAAGCTCATAAAGTATAGCGATTTCATTAACAAAGAGCTCATATTGTTTTCTATGGCGGATCTTCAAAGGTCAATTCCTTCTATGGTTGATGGCCTGAAGCCGGGTCAGAGGAAGATCCTTTTTTGTTGTTTTAAGAGGAATTTTGTCAAAGAAGCAAAAGTTGCCCAGTTTTCTGGTTACGTATCCGAGCATTCTGCTTATCATCATGGGGAGCAGAGTCTTGCCGGTACCATCATTGGAATGGCACAGGATTTTGTTGGCAGTAACAACATTAACCTTCTTCAGCCAAACGGTCAATTTGGCACCCGCAGTGTGGTAAGATAAAGGAAGTCTCACTTTTTAAAGTTGAATCAACTAATTTGCATTAACACTAAATCTGTTCCTTCACAGGGAGGCAAAGACGTCCGATTTTTGAAGTTGAATAAACTAAGTTGCATTAACACTAATTTGATTCTCATTTTTCGTTTTTGACACTGTTCTTTCACAGGGAGGCAAAGACCATGCAAGTGCTAGGTACATTTATACTCAGCTTTCTCCTATTACCAGGTTCTTGTTCCCAAAGGATGATGATGGGCTTCTTGACTACTTGAATGAAGATGGGCAAACCATTGAACCTACTTGGTAAATGTTATATTTCAATAATCAAAAAACTTATGAGTGCCTATAAGGTTACAAATAAAGAATGTTGCCTAATGTCCTTTTCTGTCTAGGTACATGCCAGTTATACCAATGGTCCTCGTCAATGGTTGTGAAGGAATCGGCACTGGTTGGAGCACTTTCATTCCTAACTATAACCCAAGGGATGTTGTTGCAAATATAAGGCGGTTGTTGAATGGTGAAATGATGGAGCCTATGAATCCATGGTATAGAGGTTTTAAAGGAACTATTGAAAAAGGTGCATCAAAGGAAACTGGTTGTAGCTACACAGTAAACGGAGTCATCAATGAAGTCAGTGAGACAACACTCAGGATAACTGAACTGCCTGTCCGTAGATGGACAGATGATTACAAGGCATTTTTAAATTCTGTCACAGAGGGGACCAGAGATGAAAACGGCAATTTACCAAAGGATCCCTTTGTTAAGGTAATCTTGATATCTAACAGATGGTGTATGGTGTGATGCTTCTATTTTCTTATGTACAATGTTCTGGTTGCAGGATTTTAGAAAGTATGGTGATGATGCAGTTGTAGAATTTGAAGTTGTGTTGTCAGAAGAGAACATGCTGGTTGCTAAGCAAGAGGGTTTGCTAAAGAAATTTAAATTAACCACCACAATTGGCACAAGTAATATGCACCTCTTTGATTCAGCAGGGGTGATTAAGAAATATGACAACCCAGAACAAAGTATGAGTTCGATGTCATTTAATCCTTGTTCTACTGAATATCAAATTTTTTTAATGCTCATTTTTCATCTTTCCATCTGCAGTTCTTGAAGAATTTTTCCACTTAAGGCTTCAATACTACGAGATAAGGAAGGTAAGTTCACTTTGAGTAGTAAAACTACCCATAAACTTTTTGAACTACTTCCCATTGATAAACAGGGGTCTAAATAGAGTCTTTTTTCTAATGTTTGCAGAAATTTCTTCTGGAAAATCTAGAATTTGAGTTGTTGAAATTAGAAAACAAGGTCAGGTTTATCCTTGGAGTTGTGAGAGGTGAAATCATTGTGAACAACCGGAAGAGAGCTGATCTGTTCCTAGAGCTGCGCCAGAAAGGTTTTACCCCCATTCCAAAGAAATCTAAGGCTGTTGTTGCTGGGGCAACTGATGATACAGATGAAGCAGAAGACAGCCCTGATGTTTCTGGGGTGCGGGCTAGTGACTATGACTATTTGCTGTCAATGACAATTGGAACTCTGACCCTTGAGAAGGTTCAGCAGCTATGTGCTGACCAGGACAAACTCAATGGGGAGGTCGACATGTTAAGAAAGACAACTCCGAGAGTTTTGTGGGTGAAAGATCTTGAGGCTCTTGAGATGCAACTTGATGTAAGTGCAGCAAATCATTAATTCATGTCTAGTTTTTTTTTCTTTTACTTATTTTCTATGCTATGCATTTCATTTTCTTTGCTGTTTCATCTCTGATTTTTAAGCAACACGTGCGTTTAGATGCTGGATAAATATGATGCTGAAGCAGAGGAGGCAAGAAAGAAATTAGCAGGTGATGCAAAGGGTGAAGCTGGTTTTAAGGTATCTAAACAAGCACCTAAAAATCCGAGGAAGACGTACACTAAGAAAGCCGTAAAAGAAGACGTACCTATTGAGACCACTGGAACATCATCCACTTCTGCAATGGAAACAGGTCAGCAAGCAGCTAGGCAGAAATGCTTCTACTAAGAAATTTTCTTTGTTTTATAAATTTCCTTGGGCTCTGTTGATGCTTATTCTATATCTTCGCCAGAGAATGCTGCTGAGGTAGTGAAACCTAAAGGAAGGGCAGGCTCAAGGAAGGCTCCTGCTAAAAGGTACAGTTTCCAATGGAAACAACCCCTCAAAAAAACAAAATTGCCCATACACCCCGACAGACAGAATTTTGCAGCTCTTTGGAACTTACAATCTACTGTTTTTCTGTTCATCAGCAGGAAAAACCCTCTCCAGTTTTGGAAGGCATTGATGAAGATGATGAAATAGAATCGTTGAAGGATCGACTTAATGCATATAGACTTGATTCTTCGCCTGATCCATCAGCTGGTAATTTGCCAATTTATTTCTCATTTACTCCCTTTTAGCCTTCAGCAAAATGAAACATCTGAATTTTGCAACTCAAACATTGTTTCGTAGAAAATTCTCAGTTTTTTTTTTTTTTACGTTCATTTGAAAGAGCAATTTGGTTACTGGTTTGTTTAACTGTCACAGACATGGAAACTGATGTGCTACAAGTACATGGAAACAGAGGTGCTGCTCGGAAGAAGCCTCCAGTAACTGTTTCAGTGATATCTGATAGCGAGGATGAACCAGACCTTGACGATGACTCTGACGTCGAAGTGAAAGCTGTCCCAGAAACAAAAAAGAAGGGAGGGAGAAAAGCTGCTGCTGCTGCTGCAAATGATAAGGCAGCCAAACCATCTGCAGCAACAAAGAGGGGAGGGCCAGCCAGCAAGCAGTCCCAGGGATTGGGCCAGAAGCTTCTAACTGAAATGCTGAAGCCTAAGGAAGGAGCAGGAATATCGCCAGAAAAGAAAGTGAGGAAAATTAGGGCATCTCCATTCAACAAGAAGAGTGGTTCTGTGTTGGGCGAAACAATGTCAGCTTCTACATCTGAAAGCAACGATGTCATTGACGTGCCAGCAAGAGCAAGACCGCAGAGGGCAAGCCGGAAGCAGAGTAGGTATGTGTTGAGCGACTCTGAGAGTGAGACGGAAGACTCTGAATTTGAGAAGACTAGTGAAGATTCAGAGACTTCTTACTCTGACTAAGGAGGTGTTTTTGGTTTATTAGGAATGCGAAACTGGAGCTCATTTTCCCATGAACTCTATTAATTGTTGTTTGTCAGCAACAATTCCTTGAAAAGCTTTCAGGCTCCAAATGGATTCTGTTAGAACATATTTTCTCCTGAGATGATCAATATCAATTTGATATTTCCTCTAGTCCCATTTTTTTTTTATCGGCACTTTTGATTTTTCAAAAATAGATAATTTTTGAATAATTTCTTTCTTTAATTTGATACAAATAATAATTCTCCTAAAGAAATAAAAAAGAAAAAATGGGAAGGGAATTGATTTATTAAAAAACATAATCAATTGCTGCTAGCACATAACTATTTGGAGCAAAGTAGGTACATTTTAGGATTAAATTGAGTAAATAATTATTTAGTCTCTCCCTCATATCGCATTCCTGTGTTTTAGTTGGCCGTTATTAACTTATTTGTTTTATTCCTTCTCTTCTTTTACTTGTATTTGGTATAAATTTTAAGAGAGGAAGTTTCAAGGGGGTATATATTTGTGTCAATCCCTCCTTTTTTTTTTTTTTTTTTGAATTTAATTTTTTTTTAAATCCTCTTTCATTTTTTTACCACAAATATTTATTATTTTTTTGTATAATTATATTTAATTAACAATTCAATTTTACTTTTATTAGAACTCAATATCATCCATAACATTTTCAACTCCTACAAAATATCCTCAACCCATCATCTCTTTAACTCTTTTTTACGTACTTATTATTTAACCTTTAAATCTTACTCGAATATTTTTCTTACAGAATTTTTACCTAATAACACAACATAACTGAAACCGGATTAACAAAATCTTCAACCATTGCAACTGAAACTGGCTTTGATGTCTGTAGATTTGTGAATGTTGATTGCAGCTATGAGAAGAGAGCTATAGCAATAATTATTGGCAACAATGCTGAGAAATTTCCCATTTCCCACTTATATCAATTTTAATTTTTTGCAAAGCACCCAAAAAGAGAACTCAATTTAATTAATAAAAAAAAAACAAAACAGAAAACCCCAATTTCAAAGAATTCAATATATCGTGCCAACTTATTCAAATCAGGGACTATATATAATTTAATCAATTCATTTTTTTCTCTAGAGAATGTAGCAATTTTGGATGGAAAACAGCAGTTTGCTAAATTTTGTTAATCAGCAAAAAGAAACCTGATGTTGTTTTGTTTCTTAAAAATGTTTCGACGTTACAAAATAGTCTTCCGGTGACCTCATATATCTTGTTTGACATAGAGATAACTAAACTTGAGAAGCTCTACAAAGTGGCTAAGCAATTTTTTTATGTCATTCCTTAAGGTTAAGTTTTCCGTGGGCATACATGAATTGTGCTGCTGCAGAACATACTGTACGGGAGATTAAAGATCACAAAAGTTGGATGTGGAAGACACATTCCACCTAGAATTTTATTACAACAATTATTAACAGCTTTTCCTTGTAACTTACATACATCAAAAGTGGACTAATACGAGTCCATGCATTGATTGACTTTGTCCTGCATTTGCAACCTGTTCTCTTTTCTGTTCAAAGCTACGAGTTTTTATTACTTGATTCCTTCAATTGTCCAAGTAAATAGAAATTGCATCATCTTCGGGAGACACCTATGGATTTAACTTCTCAACGTTTCACATCCCATTCAATATTGATGTCTGAAACAAGTTTATTTATACACATGATACGAAACTACATATCATGATAAAAGGATCGACGAAAAAGTTATTTTATATGAAGTTATTTAAGAAAAGAATGAGAAAACGTAGTTAAAGAACATTTGAAACCAGATCAGGTTGTTATCTTAGCATTCGAACCCATGTGATTAGCATGTTATATTATCAATTTGCCATTCATCATTCGTCTCACACTCTCACACTCTTATTAATTTTGGTTAGACATATGCTTAAAAAAGAGCTACAAGGTATGAAATTAGACACTTATGTTGTACAATTTATGTAATCTTTTAATTTTATTGCAATCTTAATTCTCGTCTATGTTTGATTGAGATTTTGCAGTACCACAGAGTTTCCACTCCTTTATTTCCTTTCACCGTTGTTTATGGATAAAAACAGCAAAAAGAGTTCATGTTATATATCGGAATAATATTTTAGTAATTTATTATTAACTAAATTCGATAAGACATTATAGGTATTTTTAATCATAATTTATTCTGGAAAGAAATGGTAAGGCAACTGATTATTGATAACAAATTACAAAATGCAAAACTGCATTTTTATTTGTCATTAGCCTATTCACAATCCATACATATAGCTATGGATTAGGTTTTTCATTTTCAACAAATTTTATCATACTTTTAGGGCGTAACCTTATTACGATTGACTACACATTACTCTTGACGAACATTATGCTCACTTTAATGTTTGGCGTGTGGGTTGGCTTTTTGACTATATCACTCTTACCAAACATTTTTCTCGCTTTCCAAAGTTTTGTGGGACTTCGAAAACTAGTCAACGAAAATTCATCTTCTCGTGATTAGATATCGGCATCATATCAGTAAACATCGGTAAAAACAATAATTGTTCTAATTCATATTACAATTTCTTACAACCAATAATCTTGTATCCTCTAAATGTACATTCATTCAGGAGCAAGCCCCATCTTTTAACCAATAGAGTTATTTCCCGGGCAAATCCTTCGTTTCGTTTAATATTATTATTTTAGTTCAAGTTCAGAGACAGAAAATTGCCTGCGTGCAAGAAAATATCAGACTTGTACATGCCCAAGACAAGCGATCTTCATTGTCGAGCATGCCCTTATTGTACATGCCCAGACAGAAAATGGCCCTAATGCGTACCTAAACACAGTATTTAAATCCCTTCAAAAGATGAGAACTTGATCTATCATCTCTCTTTCAAATTGCTTCCATAAAGGGAAGTTGCTTACAACATATGGAGGTTTTGCAGTTTCTGTACAAGTTCATGTTAGCAGTGAAGGAAGAAAAACAGAGACTGGATTAAAAGATACACCTACAATTTGTGAAACAGCAAATGGGTGCCATGCTGCTACATTACAACATACTAGTACAGTTCTAAACAGTAAATTTACCTGAGATGATGACAGTCTCTTATGCAAAACCCTACAACTCGGTGATCACATGCTGAGGTTTCTTTTTGTAGCTTCCATTTTTAGCAAGAGATCCTTGATATCAGCTTCCATCCTCATCTTCATACTGAAGTATTCCCGATGAGCTCTTTCCAGGCCCTGAAATTCTTCAAATTTTTGTTTGCGCATTTCCTCCGCCTCAACTATGCGCAGTTTTGAGATTCTACTTGTGTACTCTTCCTCAATCTTTTCACTCTTCGCAATTGCAATTCGTTTTAGGCCCTCAGCTTCTCTTCTAGCATCATCAGCACGTGCTTGGAACATCTTAGCTTCTGCCTGTTTGATTCTGACAATGCTCTCCAGTTCATCAAAAAGTGGCTCTTTTTGGGTACTTCTCAGTAACTCAGACTCAACAGGGCGTTTATCATCCAAGTCAGAATGGAAGCTAGGAAGTAGGCTAGGTGATCTTTCCAATTGAGGAGATTTTTCAGTGTATGCAGATTTGAACCATGCAGTATCCTGGCTAGATCCGGCAATTGCAACATTGCTTCCATTTCCTTGCTCCTTTCCGGAGAATCCAGATGCATTGCTAAACTTGGATGGATCACTGTCTGCAATCACAAAGGAGGACATCATTGGAATGAAATGATACACAAATAAACAACATATAGGTAACAAAGGAGAGCATGGCAGCCTCAATGCGGATTAATTCATTAATACTCAGGAAGTAGAAGACACCATTTTGATCTAACCTGCCAATCAACCATACATAAAAAAAAGATGACATTTAAGATTGTAATGAAGTAAAATTATAGCCCGTCACCAATTCACCATAGGAAGTCCCCAATTACAACTAAAAACATTTTCTGACCAAAATGCCAAAACACACTAAAATAAGCATACCAAAGAAAAAAATATATAGACAATCAATCCTCATGACAGCTCTGTCACTAGAGGAATGTAATCCTCCAATAACAACTGCCTTCAACTCTGACCGACTGACATGAAAATCAGCTCATCATATTGAAACAGCATGTCATCTAACAAACTACCCTTCTAACAAAAAAACCATACCCTGAAGTTTGTATAAAGTTCACGGTATGTTTACCCTAGAAAATAACAGGTCAAAATGACATTCCTCATCCTGAAATACAGAACACAAAATAAAAATTGATGCGGTCTTCACAAGAAATATCTGAATTCTCTCAAATTTCCACATTCAGGATTGTGAGAGAAAAATAACTTTGCGAATAAAATGTTACCAGCTTTAGAAATTGTTGAAACCTCATAGTGCAATAGCATTCAAATCCACCATCTTCAAAACGTTGACACACACTGATATAAAAATATATATCCCTAAAAGGTACAAACTACAAACAGATGTGAAAACTAAAATTAACTTCATTTTCAACAGCCAAAAGGGGAGAATCAATTAAAAGGGACGTACCAAAGTTAATTGATAATAACAAGCATAAAGCATGAGATACCAGCACATGTCTACAAAATGCTAACAATCCAAGACTTCAAAAACATTACAGGAAAGGCCCTTTAATGTGTAATTCAGAACAACTTACCAGTAAGGAAGCCCATAATATAATTATAGACCTCGGGAAGACTGGACTTGTTTGCCAATTTTGCCAGCATTTGATCAGCTATTTCATGCAGCCGTCTCCCTCTCACATCCTTGCTGGCACGGAAAATTCTCTTGACATATTCAAGTTCTCTGCAAAATGTTTCTGCTGTCCAATCTTTTGCAAAGTTCTGAAAAACCTCCTTCACAAAGCCAAACATCTCAGAAGGATGATCACAGGCAACACAATGGAACTGCATCTCAGTAGTCGCTTGAGCACCGCTAGCACTCCTTCCGTTCCTAATGTAAGCTTCTCGTAATGCACAATCAGCATGACACCA